CAGCTCAAGGCTAGCCCTCTACCACTTGAGCCACAGCACTACTTCTGGCTTTTTCTACTTATGTGGTGCTGAGGAATCAAACCCAGGGCCTCATGCATGCAAGGTAGGCACTCTGCCACTGAGCCACCTTCCTAGCCCACACATATTCTTTTATATGTTCAGTCATTTATTGTTTTAGCAATTAAGCTAATTGATACTGAAATGGACTGCAATGGGGGAAAAATGGAAGAGAGGAAAATGACATGCCATTCTCATTTACAGTACATGGCTCAGGGAAATTAAGACAAAAGAGAGCGTTGGTTACCCATTGTTTGGCTAAATCAAAAGACATAATTTTTAGTGTTTTTTTCCATTTATATTTCTGAGAAAGGTGTCTAATCAGGGAACTTTCATCACCTATTTCCTTTTAAGAAGTCTTTTATAGTAACAAGGCTTTTATCACCACAGACTTGCTCAAATCCCATCAGGGCCCCTGTATAATTCTCACATCTGGCTGGTGATGGTGGCTCATGCCTATAATCCTCAGGAGGCTGAGATCTGAGAATTGCAATTCAAAGCCAACCTAGGCAGGAAAGTCTGGGAGAATCCTATCTTCAATCTACTACAAAACAAAATCCAGAAATGGCACTGTGGCTCAAGTAGTAGAATGGTAACCTTGAGCACAAGGCCCTGAGTTCAAGCCCTAGGACAGGCACAAAAACAAAACAAAACAGCAGCCACCACAAAATACCTTGACATTTGTGGATAAGAATTCCAAATGTTCTTAAACTGTGAATCAAGACATCCAGATTCTATCACCAGGGCTATACCAAATTTACTCATCTCTGGGTAAGGGGTTTATCATCATCGCTGAACTACAAAGAAACCACACCTTGGACTGGTTAAGAACCTCTCCAACAGCACCTGGATACTTCAAAGATTGATCATCTCAACATCACTGCACTATTGCTGTACAGTCATGTGTCCTAGAGTTTAGTGAGTTATGGCCAATGACCAATATCTACCCTATGAAGGTCTTCGTGTCAGTGAAATGACAGCCACGAACAGATAAGCAGACCTTTATTGTGGGTCTTTACGCAACTTTATTCTGGAACATATTCTCATATTACGGATTTTTCCTCAGAGTTTCCTGGAAATCGCCCAAATCATAAATTCAGATTTGTTTTTGAAATGCTGGTAATGGGTCATGAACTCAGGACCTGGGTGCTGTCCCTGAGCTTTCTCGCTCAAGGCTAGCATTCGATAACTTGGCCCATAGCTCCATTTCTGGCTTTGGGGGATGGCTAACTGGAAACAAGGGTTTCACAGACTTTACTGATGGAGCTGGCTTTGAACTGTAGTCTGCAGATCTCAGCCTCCTGAGTAGTAAGGATTACAGGGATGAGCATTAGAAGAGAAAGTAGAATTCTTTTCCAATGTTGGTTATTCTTCTCAAAATCATGAAACATGAGAGCAAAAATGTCTGATTTTGTAGCTAGCTTTCAGTGAAACCAGCAATGGGACTGCTTACCTATCTATTACAGGTGAGCAAGTCTCAACCCCATTCCCTTCCTCAAGCTAATAGTACCAGTTCTTCCACATGGAGTCTCACTGACATTAAAGGCCAGCCTGAGCCAATTTGCTTATATAATTGGTTTTGGGGGGGGGTATTAATAGTTTAATTTTTGGTTTACATTATTTTTTTGTGCTTGAACTCAGGGCCTCAGTGCTTGCTCAGGGCCGGTCGGTGCTCTACCACTTGAGCCACAGCTCCACTTCCGGTTTCTAGGTACTTAATTGGAAATAAGAGTCTCGTGGACTTTCCTGCCTTGGATTGGCTTTGAATTCAGTCCTCAGATCTCAGTCTCCTGAATAGCAAGGATTAACAGGCCTGAGCTACCAGTCCCGCAGTTTTTTCTTCTTGTAGAATTTATACTTGTTGGATTAGCAGAGAAGGGCTGATCTCGATTACTTGCTACAGTAATTGGTTAACACTGGGCTAACTGAGCTGTGATGGCTTTGTTGTCTAAGATTTTTCACGCTTTTAGGACAAAGAAGGAATCTGAGCTAAGCATGACAACTATCGACATAATTCTCCTCCATATGGTGTCCTAATTTCAAAACCATGAGGATATTTAATTTTGACCACTTTCAAAGATCTGCCCTCTTCCCCTGGGCACAGGTGGTTCATGTCTGTCACCCTATCTAATCAGGAGGCTGAGACCTGAGGATCGAAGTATGAAGCCAGCCTAGATGAGACAGTCTGTAAGATTCTGATCTTCAATTAAGCAACAATTTTTTGTTGCTTAATTGGAGCTGTGGCCCAAGTGATAGAGGTTCTGAGTTCAAACCCCACGGCCTGCAAAACAAACAATTTCAGTAATAAGACTTTTTTTGTTTGGGTTTTTTTTTAACTGTATTTTTTTTGTCTTTTCTTTTTTGGTACTGGGGATCAAACCCGGGACGTTGTGCTTGCTAGGCAAGCGCTTTGCCACTGAGCTACATCCCAGCCCAAGACTTTTTTTTTTAAAAATTCATGCTTCCATTTCTAAGGCCTGAGTGTGTGTGTGTGTGTGTGTGTGTGTGTGTGTGTGTATAAAACATTTCTTTTATTCTAAGAACTTCATCCTTCATGAAACAAAAATGGGAAAGATCCAAACTGTCACAATTCCAAACAGACAGAATAATTGTGACTTTCTTCTGAGAAGTTATTATCTAATCTTAATGAAAAAAATATTCAGAAATTAATAGCTAAATACTAAAGCACTGAAGAACAATTTTTAAAAGTTGGCAGTTGAAATGAATCCCAAGATTTTCTCCTCAATAGTGTGGATTCCTCTGACACAAGACTTAGCACGTCAGTCTTCTCTTCCTCCATCTCTCAGGAAAAAGAGACTGGCACCTTTTCCAGCTATCAGGAGCTTTAACTCAGTGGAAGGGCTCTCCTCTGCTTCCTCCTGTCCACATCGCTCATTGGCAGCTGTGATTTGAATTCCTTACAGGAGCAATTGAGTTCAACACTCAATTTCTCATATGTAGAAATGATTTCTAGCTGGACGTCAGTGGCTTATGTCTATAATGCTAGCTATTCAAGAGGCTGAGATCTAAGGATCATGGGTCAAAGCCAACCCAGGCAGAAAGTCCATGAGACTCTTATCTCCAATTAACCACTACCAATTTAAAATAAAATCCAGAAATGGAGCTATACAAGTGGTAGAGCGCTAGCCTTGAGCAAAAGGATCTAGGGGCAGTACCTAGGCCCTGAGCTCAAGCCCCAGGACCAAAACAGCACACACACACACACACACACACACACACACACACACACTTATTCCTCACTTATGTCTCTGTAATGTTATTAAAATTGGAAAATTGTATTGTGACCACAGATTTCAATGAAAACTTGTCCTGGAAGCCAATGGTATAGTAATTAAATGTGTATTTCACAGACAGAGCAGGAACAAGCTGAGGTGGAGACAGAAGAGAGACAGACAGACAGACACACACACACACACACAAACACACACACACACACACTACTACCACCACCACCAAAGACAGAAGAAGAGGAAATGAGAAGATTGATTTTGTTACTTTAAAATATATTACAATTGAAATTTTTCCCAAAAAGAATTCTTAAACATTGGGAACACCATATCAGCAAGCAGCCTGTTCCCACCGATGCGTTCAGCAATAGTTGTTTCTTGTCCTATATAATCAGGGCCCGTGGAGGCCTTTGGCTGAGGGGATGGGATTGGGAAGGCTATGCTACTTAAAACAACCTTCTGCACCAGGATATTGCCTGAGATTCCCAGGAAACACAAAGTCCCCTGAATAATTTTTTTTTGTATGTGTGTGCCAATCCAAGTGCCTGAACTCTGGGCCTGGGCACTACCCCTGAATGTTTTTGCTCAAAGCTAGCACTCTACCACTTGAGCCCCAACTCTACTCCTGGTCTTCTGGGTTTTTGTTGATTAATTGGAGATCAGAGTCTTAAGTACTTTGCTGCCTGGCCTGGCCTCAAATCACGATCCTCAGATCTCAGCCTCCTGAGTAACATTTTACAACACAAAATTTTATGATTATGCCAGAAGCTTAATAATGTTGCTGGATTGATGGAGCATTGCAACCCGACCGTGGGTAGATGTCTAGATGTCTAGCATATTCAAATAACTGTTCTTAGAAGGTGATTTGAAAGGTCTACACATAAATTATTCCTAGGGAAATTTATTTTCTATTTTCCTTTGAAAAAATAATCAGCTAAGTAACAGTTTAACCTAATATTTAGAAATACATTGTTTTGAGATTTAGTAGTACATTGATGTTTTGTGCTTATTATAGCCTACTCAAGATTCTGAAATATCCTAACCAGAAGTATAGTACACTTACTAAACTGGGTGCTGGTGGCTCACACCTGTAATCCTAGCTTCTCAGGAAGCTGAGATCTGAGGATTATGGTTCGAAGCCAGACCAGGTAAGGAAAATCTGTGAGACTCTTATTTCCAATAAACTACTAAAAAGGCCAGAAGTAGAGCTGTGTCTCAAGTAGTAGAGTGCTAACCTTGAGCAAAATAAGCGTAGAGACAGTCCCCAGGTCCTGAGTTCAAGCTCCTGGACCAGCACATAGGCACACAGTTACTCATCTGAGTGTTTAAATTTAGTAACTATTTACAGAACTTAGAGAAATAATAAAGCAACCTTGGATAACATTCCAATAGTAAAGTGCTGATTTCCATAGTTTGTCTTACATAAAGACAGAACAAAGAGCCTAACTGGTGAAAGCTCTAAAATAAAAACTTTGAAAGAAAACATCTGATCATTGCATTTGCAAGAAGTTCCCTTCCATTTCCTACCTGGAACGCGTTAAGACCCTGTCTTAATTGTTAATAACCTTAACTCTCATCCATCATTGTCTTTCTAAAAGGAAAATCTTTGGCATTTATAGAGATTCCTGGAGTTACCTCCGAACTCTGGTAAAGTAAGCAAAAGGAAAGCAAAGGCAGAAGCAACCTGCTACTCACCATGCTCTGGGGCTGGAAGTCCCTCTCAGAGCTAGCTAACCATGCTTCAGGCTCAAATACAGAGATTCTTATGACTCTTTGAATCAAACAGTAACTGCGTGGTGGTTTAAGTAGAAAGATATATTCTGAAAGGTTAACACAGCCCATACACAGGGAAATCCCTTTTTAACGAAAGTCACCATAGTGCCAAAAGGCTATTAATATTCACCTCTTCCATACAAATACAGCCCACAGATCAAAGATTCGTGATCTTTGTGAGACCACAGAGGATTCCCTCTGAATCTCTGTGTTGTAATGGAATAGAGAGAATAACATCCCTCTTCAGGCAATCTGGGGTACTACAGGAAACCCTCCTGCCCACTGAATGGAAAAGTTCTATCAGGTGAACAGGGCTAACACATAAACATCAGCATAGAATAAGTATGATTTACTGTAAGGACCACAGGTCACACACTCATTTCTAGGAATGTTCTTCTGTTTCTTCCTCCTATGTCTTTCCTGAAAGAGCTAGTACCTAGGTTAACATTTAAACAGTTACCCTTAAAAGTAATTGAGAAATAGACTCATTGTTCCCTTTACATTTTTTTTTTAAAAATGACAAAGGAATTCATTGAGTGTTTGTTTTTGTTTTTCACTTGGAGGAGAGATTCTTTTGATAGCCTCTGTGTTTCTTTACTAGCGTTATAAGATGGGAAATTACTTTTTTTTCCTTGTGCTTAGAAAAAGTCTGGCCTGCACTGGTGGCTTACAACTGTAATTCTAGCTAGTTGGGAGGCTGAGATTTAAAGATCACAGTTCAGAGATACCATAGGCAAGAAACTCTGTGAGCCTCTTAGCTCCAATTAACCAGTAAAAAGCTGGAGCTATGGCTCAAGTGGTAGAACACTAGGCTTGAGCACAAAAGCTTAGGAACAGTGCCCAGGGCTTTGAGTTCAAGCCTTAAGACTAGCACAAAATAAGCAAATGAATAGTTAATTACATTAAAAAATTGTCCAGAATACAACATACCCACTATATATAGTACAAAAAAGCAAAACAGAACACAGAAAAATCAGTTATCTACCTTCATCTCAAGTTATGAAACACATTTGATGAAAATACCAAGGAAATCCCCTCCGAAATCATTTTCAAGGATGACTGGTATCTTGCTTTCCATGATATTTCCACTCAAGCACCAACCCATTTTCTGGTGATATATATGCATATATCCCAGATTTCCATAGCTGAAGATTATGATGAAAGTCTTTTTGGACATTTGATGATTGTTGGCAAGAAATGGGCTGCTGCGCTGGGCCTAACGAAGGGCTATCGCATGATGGTGACTGAAGGTGTAGAAGCCAGGCAGTCTGTCTACCATGTTCATTTCCATGTTCTTGGAGGTCGTCCAGATGCACTGGCCTCCTGGTTGAGCATGCCCCAGGATACTTTTCCTTCTCTAGGCAGAGATGAAGCTTGCAAGTTAGATGGCAGGTATTTTTTCCTACGTATGAAACCATTGGAGACATTTAAAAACCTATGCCTAATGAAAGACTTGTTACATGGTTAAAAAAAGAAACATGAAGATGCCAAGGACCATAATATTAGTTACTCAGGAGGTTGAGATCTGAGGATCGTGGTTCAAAGCCAGACCAGGCAGAAAAGTCCATGAGACTCTTATTTCCAACTAACTAGCAAAAAGCCCAAAGTAGAGCTGTGGTTCAAGCAGTAGAGCATTAACCTCGAGCCAAAAGCCACAAGGACAGCACCCAGACCCTGAGACCAGAATACACAGAAATCTTGAAGAGCTATCAAAAAAAATCAGAAAGGGCCATCTTGTCTCAAGCCATATGTGTCTCTTTCCTGGATGATCACATAAATTAAAGTGTGGAGAGCCTATTGAAATGTGTCAATCCAAGCAAGAAGACTATTTCTATTTAAAACACCATGGGAGGGAGGGTGGAGCTAGGGAACCATGAAACATGGTGTCTCATGGAAACACTCTTTGAGAAGAGTGTATGTACAATAGAAGGACAGACCTCATCATGCCCACTGCCCACCAGTTCCAACTGGAAATGGAACCAGATCTCCCAAAGGATGGGCCCACGGTCCATGAAGCACTGTGTCACAGCTGCACATCTAACCACAGAACACCGACTGCAGAAGAAGCTGGCCATCTTCCAACTGCAAGCTCCAGATCTGTTCGGTTCACAGAAGAGCATTTCATTTAGTGGTTTGTCTTCAGAGGAACACAAGGAAATGAGTGAAAAGTGTGCAATAAAACTTGAAGACTTGGACCAAACATGACTGAGCCAAAATTCAATTCACATGTCAGAAAGGCCAACGTGTCAGCAAGAAAGTGAGAAAAAAGGAGACAAGTGGGGGAACCTAGGTCATTTTAAAAGAAAGCAGTGATGTTCCTTGTTTCTTCTTTTATTCTCAAGAAGACTACAAAGATTGAGGCATGAATGTTTCCACAATATAGGCTTGGGAAAGAGTGAACCTAATGCAGATAAGCTGACTATGTCACTCAACAATGAAACCCCACCCCCAGCATCCAGCATCCAGGCTGTCCAATGCTGTGAGGGAAATGAGCTTCCCTCATGATTCCAAATCCTGGATAGGGAATGTAAGTTGAGAAATTGACTTTTAGGCTGGGCACTGGTGGCTCATGCCTGTAATCCTTGCTCCTCAGGAGGCTAAGTTCTGGGGATCATGGTTCAAAGTCAGGCTGGGCAGGAAATCTATGAGATTTTTTTTTATCTCTAATTAGTTACCAAAAAGCCAGAAATGGAGCTGTGGTTCAAGAGATAGAGCACTAGCTTTGAGTAAAAATATACTCAGAGACAGTGTTCAGGCCCTGGATTTAAGCTCCAGGACTGGCATTTAAACATAAAGCACTTTCCAAGGCTTCACTACCCTAAGGTTTCTCTAGAGAGGGTGGAGAAGCAGGCCTGGCAGTGCTTGTCTAACAGAAGTGCAGCTGCCTCAGTTGGTCAAGCTAGAATTGGTCTGTTGGATGAGATCTTTCTGGAGATTATGTCATTGGACATCTTTCGTGAGGAAGGCCATGGTCTTGACAAACTTTGGTTTTTGATGGTTTTCCATGAGAGATTCAAACCAGAGGGTGTATTCCCACTGGAAATTCAGGATATTACCAGTAATGCTAGTTAAAGGACAGAGGCAACAGGAGTCTTGGAGGGACTTGATATCATACAAGAAGGCAATATGATGAGCTGGGTATCAAAATACAAAGGTAATATTATGGGATGGGATCAAATATAAAGGTAATATTATGAGTTGGGTATCAAAGAGAAAGTAATATTGTGGGTTGGATATCAAATAGAAAGGTAATATTATGGGTTGGCACTCTACTGTCTCTTAGCCTAGTTTCTTAGGAACAATCCTGAGTGTTAATATGGAACTTTCTTTTTCATATAGCAGGAATGGCACTTTTTTTTGTCAGATTCAGGCTCCCATAACCATGAATATAATTAGTGGGGGGGTTTTCTTTTTCTTTTTTCTTCTTTTCCTTCAGAGCCAGTACTCCACTGGAGCTTGAATTCAGGGCCTGGACGCTGTCCCTGAGCTTCTTTTACTCAAGTCTAGTGTTCTACCACTTAAGCCACAAATCCATTTCCAGCTTTTTGTGGTTAATTGGAGATAAGAATATCACCAACTTTTCCTGTCTGGCTGGCTTCGAACTGCCATCCTCAGATTTCAGCCTCCTTATAGCTGGGATTACAGGAGTGAGCCACAGGTGTTAGGCGAAGTATACCTAGTTGATTCCAGTATTTGATGCTTTGTATTTTTAAAGAACATGAAGGTTTCAATAAATCATTGCCAGGTTATGGCCCATTATCACAATTGTTTGTGCTTTTGAAAGAAATCAGGGTAGATAGCAGAGCGAATGAGCTTATGACTTAACCCATTAAAATAGCATTCTTCTGCCTTCTCTAACCAGTTTGCTCATGAAAAAAAAATCTGTCCCAAAAAAAAGGCCATATCAGGTGAGCCATTGGGACAGGAGAAGGGCAGAAGTTTCCTTTCTAGAAACGATGAAAGGAGGGAAATCAACCAAGGATGTAACTAAATGACAAACACAGCTGTTTGGGACCAAAGTCTGCTATCACCACGACAATCCAAGTCGAGAGCACTGGGCTGACAGCAGAAGGCAAAGCCAGGTGTTGACTGGAGAATTCCCACATCTTTGTAACTCACCCCTCTGTCTTTCACTCTTACAGGAACTGCATCCTTTCCTCTTTTCAATACTCATGGAAATACTTCCCTACCACCTCAGGAACTAAACCTGTTTTCAACATTACATTCATTCGCCTCTCATCCTGCTTAAAAAGATTGCCACCCAGAGAGCACTCATTTAGAAATGAGGCATTATGGTCCAAATCTGCCTAGATCCACATTAAATAGTTATGATTCTCTATTATGCAGAAACAGAGATTGGGTATTTGAAGTATTGCATATTCTCCTTTGATAGGCTTGTTTTTCTAATAGCAGTTTTGGATTTTCAATTAACTCAAAGGGAAAATCAAGTTTGGATGTTAAGTTGTGATTTCCAGCCTCGTTCTGTCACCCCCATTTATACTCAACCCAATCTTCAGATCTTAACTTTAAACCTATAGTGGTGTGGGTTCATGCATTTAGGAATAGACAGAAACTTTAGAACTGTAAAAAAAAATGGTTAGGAAAGTGATTCTGTTTATGGATATTTTAAAGGTGAACAATTTACCAGGCTGAAGTTTGAGGCAGATATTCAAATTTTGTCCCAATGGACTTGGAAGATTATATAACCAATGTAACATTTTACCTCCAACATGCTGAAACTCACAAAATAAATTGAAAGCTTATATTGGAAGTAATTTTAGACACCAAGGAGATAAATCTACTTATAGAAGATTAACTTAAATTAGCGCATTTTTCTCCAGTGGTATTTCTCTTAACAGTCTCATCATCTCTTCAATATACTTTGTCCCGGGATATCTCAGTTCCTTTATCTAAAAATGAGATTGGCATAGACCATTGCTACATGTCCAAGTTAATGA